CAAATTACATTTTGTGAAGTTTCTTTTTTTACTCAGTATGACCAGTCACTAAGAATTATATGTTTAAAAATGTGATTACAGTTCATTTTGTGTCAAATGGGTGACTGTAGAGTGTCTGGGATTTAAAAACAAAATAATTATGCTTCAGACGAGGGAAAATAAAAATTATCTGCTTCAAAAATTACACTGGAATTATTTTGTGGAAAAAAGTTAGGATCCTAGTTCTCATTAATAACGTATCAAGTCTCGATACAAGATCCCAGTCGAACAGCCCCAGCTACAAAATGCCCCAGCAAATTTGGTCATTCATTCTAATTTGTTCAAATTTATTTATAATGATTGAGTTTTTGTCAACTTATTATGATATTATGTTCTTCATATAAAAGTTATTAGGAAGTAATATTTCTGATAAATGTTTCATTAGTAAACTCATAACTATGTATATACTTATACTTATATACTTATAAGAACATAATATCAAAGTTGACAAAACTATGCATTTATGGCCTATATTTATTCATTTTAGATAAATTTAGTTGCCTTTAAAATGTTTTGTTTGTTTTGTACAAGCACAACTTTAGCTTCCTATTTGGCAGATGCTTTCGTGACATCGCGGTGAAATCTTCGAGGATTATTAGATAAATACAGTCGCGATTTTGTCATTTTCCACTCAGTAATGAATTATTCCAATTGGACATTCAAACAATTTAATATATGCTTTCACTCAGTCAAAATACACATATATGTCAAAAAGTACTTCCGTGAAAGATCCAAAGGCCTTATGCTGACATATGTTCGGTAACCGTATTGACTATTGAGACCACGTGTTCAGGACACTTGATTGATTGGAATTCCTGTATCTTTGATTCATGATAATGGTTTCCTTCTGGTATTATAGTCATTGCTAAATGTGGTGCTGGAAACTTGTGGTGATCTGATGCAAAATTATAAATGTGGTGCTGGAAACTTGTGGTGATCTGAAACAAAATTATAAATGTGGTGCTGGAAACTTGTGGTGATCTGAAACAAAATTATAAATGTGGTGCTGGAAACTTGTGGTGATCTGAAACAAAATTATAAATGTGGTGCTGGAAACTTGTGGTGATCTGAAACAAAATTATAAATGTGGTGCTGGAAACTTGTGGTGATCTGAATCAACATTATAAATGTGGTGCTGGAAACTTGTGGTGATCTGAAACAACATTATAAATGTGGTGCTGGAAACTTGTGGTGATCTGAAACAAAATTATAAATGTGGTGCTGGAAACTTGTGGTGATCTGAAACAAAATTATAAATGTGGTGCTGGAAACTTGTGGTGATCTGAAACAAAATTATAAATGTGGTGCTGGAAACTTGTGGTGATCTGAAACTTGAAAAAATTATAAATGTGGTGCTGGAAACTTGTGGTGATCTGAAACAAAATTATAAATGTGGTGCTGGAAACTTGTGGTGATCTCAACATTATAAATGTGGTGCTGGAAACTTGTGGTGATCTGAAACAAATTATAAATGTGGTGCTGGAAACTTGTGGTGATCTGAAACAAAATTATAAATGTGTGTGAAACTTGTGGTGGAAACTTGTGGTGTGATCTGAAAAACATTATAAATGTGGTGATGGAAACTTGTGGTGATCTGAAACAACATTATAAATGTGGTGATGGAAACTTGTGGTGCTGGAAACTGGAAACTTGTGGTGATCTGAAACAAAATTATAAATGTGGTGCTGGAAACTTGTGGTGATCTGAAACAAAATTATAAATGTGGTGATGGAAACTTGTGGTGATCTGAAACATAATTATAAATGTGGTGATGGAATCTTGTGGTGATCTGAAACAAAATTATAAATGTTCACCTGAAAGAACGCTTCTTGTTGTTAAGTTTGATTACAGACATTTTACGTACACTTTATTTAATGTAATTTGGTTTATATCTGCAGGCCACAACGTGGGTGCAGATAGGTTCAGACATTATACGTGCGCTTCACCAAATGGAAATACTTTGTTCTGTAATGGAACCCGCCTTGACGTTACAAATTGATAGAAACGCCTGGACAATCCAAACTTAGGGGCAACAGAAAGAGAATCAAGTCATTTTTTATCTAACTAACAATTGCAGGAACCGTTGTTAAATTATGTCCAGTTGACCACCACTTATTCCTGCAACAATTTATAATATGTGATCTGTGGTTGGGTATTTTCGTGTCAGAAGACATTCGTTCAACGTGAAGACCTTCGTAACAAATACATTTCCAGCTACATGACCACTACCATGTCATGTTGTATATTCACAAACGAAATGTATTGATTTTCAAAGATGAGATATCTAAGGTATGCATCTGCAATTTATATTTCTTTTTTAATATTTTTAAAGTTTTAAGTAAGATTATATTTTTATAAACAAAAACAAAAATATTCTTTGCGTAAACCTGATTGTATCATTTACTGCTATATATACCTTTACGTGTGTTATTTCTATTCTTCTGTAATTACTCTGTAGACGGAGCCGCGTCATCTGCAAATGTAATGTGTTTACTTCCGAAAAAAGTATACAAATAATGAAATGGAGGATTATGCATGTAACTGGTTTATCATTTTTGGTCGGTATACCATGTAGGATTATCAACTTTATACAAATCAACATGTCCTCGTTACAAACCTAATGAATGCTACATAGCAGGCATCTGTTACAGGTCGATAGTATAACGTACAGTGTGAGGAAGGGGTTTTAAAAGGGGCACTTACTTTGTTAAAACATTTCTCATAAAACATTCTATGGTGGATTAACATTTCCGGGAAGAGTGGTGAAACTTTCCCAACATGGATTTCGCCAATATTATGGGTGTATTGGGTGATATTATATGACATCGTACCTCCTGTAAGTGAGGTAAAGGTGAAACCAGTGTTTTAATTGCTGACAGACCACGGGTCATAATGGATTTAAATCCATGATTAACAGATCCTGGTAGGACTAAGGAACGCAACTCTTACACAGTTAACTGCTTGAACTAGTCCTCCCGTGCACTGATACACGATATTAGTAAGCGCAGTTCCAGTACAGTATCGTCAATTTAGACAGTTGTCCTTCATTGCACTTTAGAAGACTGTTTTCAACAAAGCTAGAAAAAATATGCATGTTTAAAGAACGAATAAACTTTTGGTTCTTTCTACTCTTTTAACCATTACATATGAAAGACGTGTGGTTACTCTCAAACGGGACACCAAATTCATTCTTAAAAAGCTTGTGGTTAATTAATACCAAGCGATTTTAAAGTTGCCAAAAAGTCGTCTGCTTCTCTCTCGCCCGCCAACGAAACCACAGAGAGGTTACGTAGCGAACACTGCAGCGAACCGGAAGTGACGTTATGTGAGGAAGGATTTTCAGTTAGTTGTACATAGAATGTGTAACAAGCTTGTCATTTTGCTGATTTCTCGATGTCAACGAAGACATGCCGAATCGTTGCGTTGCCGTCAATTGCTCCCAGGGGCCGGGTGATGGTGTCACCATGCACAGATTTCCACCGAAATCCTGCAGTTCGTGCTAAATGGTTTATGTTTGTGAGTGCGAAGCGAGCGTTGTGGAAGCCTGGAACATATCTTACTTGTGTTCTGATCACTTCACGGGAGTTAAAAAAATCAAATCTACTTATTAGTTGTTGTCAAATATGTATAGGATTGATGACCAAAAGGATTTTGCATGACACAACTTGTAACATAACGATTTCTTCCTCGGAAGGTTGTGACAATAATATTGTAAGTAGTATTATATTGACGCCCACCTCGCTTCTAAGAGAGAAATTGTTATGTTATAAGCTATGTCATGCAAAATCCTATTGGCCATCAATCAAATACAAAGTTTACTACCAGTAGAAAGTAGTTTTGATTTTGTAACTCAAAACAAACCTAAATAGCATTTTTCTCAGACTGGCGGATGTTCGCGACAGGGGGCCGCCATTTTTAAAAATCGTGACGTCACGGTCTAAAGTCTGTTCGAGAATCAATGAGATTATGGTTTGATTTCATCAAGTTAGAAAATCAAAACTACTTTCTACTCGTAGTTAAATTTGTTTTTAAATCATGACTAAAAGGATTTGGCATGACACAACTTGTAACATATCGATTTCTTCCAGGGAAGCGAGGTGAGGGTTGAAGTGACAATATTGCACGATAAATTTCTTGCTACATTCACGTGGTTAACGTCCACTCATGAGTATGTATAGATACTAGACGATCTTCTTCCTGTTACCGTGATGAGCGAGGCCGATCCTCGTTTTCACTATCACTAGCGTCTGGCTCGAACAAATAAGGCCTAGCGACAAGCAATTTTGACAGAATCGTCTATGAAAACAAGTTATAACTCGGAAGCTATGCAAAGCAGGTGACAAGATTAAATGCCAGTAGATTGTGAAAACATAAAGCTTTCACTTTTCACAACAATTGTCACGATTTCAGGTTTAGACAAACCTGTAAACAAGATAATTTACCCCCGGAAATGTACATGAATTCTAAAGCACCCCTCGTATGTATACCTCACATTACGTCACGGAGACGCGCCCCTCTGATTGGTTGAAATTTCGTTCGCGAGAGAGAATTGTGCACTGTTGTCAAAAAGGTCGATTTAAGTTAATTAAAGGTCGAAATGAGTAGTTTTAATGACGGGGTTTAATTTGTAACGATGCCAATAAATGATTTATGTATTTGCACACCCCTAGAGTATATGTGATCTTTAAACAAACATTGCCTGATAATTATGACAGATGTACATCGAGCGCTCGCTCAAACTGGTGCTTAATCCAAACCGAGGCTTATATTATCGTGCTATTTCAGCGTGACTGGGTTTTGATACACCTAACACCAAAACTGGTAGGTGTGACACAGGTGCTCCGTACAGAAGGGTAGTGGTGTATTTGGATCACGTGCTGCGTTAAGTCACCAAGTCAGTGGGTATCGCTTAATGGCTGCCTTCAACATGGATCAGTAACCACCATTTTGTTTGTTTACAGGAATCCCAGGCACAGAACTCAAGCCGGAGCCTCAACAAACTGAGTTTCCGCCGGAAATGTCGCAGGACACCTAATGCTGACGAGATGAAGTCACGTGAGTTACAATTTGTCAACGACGGCATCATCACCGAGAGACGCCGGACGAAGTACAAGGACATTATTCCTCCATACGACGCTACAGAAGATCAACATTCTAGAGGATACTTTAAACGCCCGGATATAAAACGTCTTGTAACCCTCACGTGCTCACCGCGAAGTCCCAGGGTCAACTGATAACCAATCAGATCAGATCAGAGGGTCACTGATGATTTAACGAGCGCTTCCGGAGGAGCCGATTTTTCACTCGGACTTAAAATCGGATCTCCCCATCTAAAATTATTTTTACTTTCTGGAGAGATGTACCATAATCCTGGCAAAGAACATGCGACATAGCTGATGTGTGAAGGATTTGAAGCAAACACATGGGCTACAGAGTGGGTTTTCTCAATGTTTTCGATACACATGAACGTATAGGCCGGTGTGTACGGAAGCGTAATGGTTCCACAGTCTATCTGCCAAATCTATCATCCACTTAGATGATACCTACAATCACAATTGTAGTCACAGTCAAAGCACAAAATATTTACGTTGCTTTTCGGAAAATAACCCCCAAACAGGTGTAAGTTTAGTCAGTTTCTAGTATAATAGTGCTTGCCATTACTTTCACACTCCAGAATGAATATAGTTTATAGAAGCGTGTAAACATTTGACAGCATTTTGGATGGGCTTTTTCCCATTTGGTCTTTTCTGTGTTTTCACAACTAACTGAAATCATTTGATTGCTAGACGATGATAGATCTACCAATCATCTACGTAAATGATAAATAATTGTTTTTGAGTCTGTGGCACCAATACGCTTCCGGGTAGGGCAAGGCTTCAGAACTACATGAATATTTTCGGCAGACTAGTAGTACAACTCAAGGTGTTGTATGGCTTGTATGAAGGTGTCTTCCAGTGTGTATCGAGTTATGTGAATCAATGAATTCAATATCGCTATATAGAGAGAGTGAGTGAGTGAATTCGAGTTAAGGCCCCTTTGAGCAGTATGTCAGTTATACCGAGTCGTGTTGGCTACATGTTGGACGAGTGCCTGAAGTAATGCTTTTTTCAGACGTGTACTTCATTAGCGAAACCCTTGAGTACGGCTATGGCGCTTACCTAGAAGCATGATCAGGGTGAACCGATACTTGTACCCATGATCACAGGCTTTGAACATGCCAAATCAGCTGCAGATTTAACTGCGGTGTCTTTGACGACTGGCTAATGGATGCGTCACACCGTGTTCCTTCGCAATGAACATCTTCGTTAGCCTGTATCAACAGCTCACTGCAGTTGTCAAATACGTTTCAGCGAAAGGAAAACAGTTATTAACAGTAGATTCCTTCTCATAATTTTAAACATTATAATGGTTTGAATGGTTGTCATAATGGTTGTCAGCCCATTTAATATTTGGATGAAAATACCACGATGCTTGGCTGTAATGGATTGTTTTCTCTAAGATTTTTCAGTTTGTGAAGATTATTCTTCAATTGTGTATTGTGTTTTGCTGTTTAGATTTAGGCTTTTTTCTGAAGACGTTTGGTCCCAAACAGAATTTGAGGCGGATAAAGTTCATTATTTCCCTCCCTGTTGTGTCTTGTCTGGCTATGTATCCGATATCATACATATCAAGTTAAACATGTCTCTTTCCATTTCATTTCACTCTCTAACACAAAACATTTCCTGTGTGAAGCCCATTTCTTTTGCCCATTTTTGCTATTCAAATGTCATATTGATTTCACGACTTCCATTTTTGTCAAACTGTTTATTCATTATCTGTATTGTGTAAGCTTCTCATATTAAAAATATCATACTTGAAACAAACTTGGCCATGTTACAATTTCTAAACATAGACAATCGAGACTGGGATCGAGATATCGGTCCATTCAAGATGATGGGATCCGACTGTAGTTGCCTCCCGATGTTACTTGCCTCCCGATGTATATCTATAACATTCACATACTTGCCTCCCGATGTATATCTATAACATTCACATACTTGCCTCCCGATGTATATCTATAACATTCACATACTTGCCTCCCGATGTATATCTATAACATTCACATACTTGCCTCCCGATGTATATCTATAACATTCACATACTTGCCTCCCGATGTATATCTATAACATTCACATACTTGCCTCCCGATGTATATCTATAACATTCACATACTTGCCTCCCCGATGTATATCTATAACATTCACATACTTGCCTCCCGATGTATATCTATAACATTCACATACTTGCCTCCCGATGTATATCTATAACTCACATACTTGCCTCCCGATGTATATCTATAACATTCACATACTTGCCTCCCGATGTATATCTATAACATTCACATACTTGCCTCCCGATGTATATCTATAACATTCACATACTTGCCTCCCGATGTATATCTATAACATTCACATACTTGCCTCCCGATGTATATCTATAACATTCACATACTTGCCTCCCGATGTATATCTATAACATTCACATACTTGCCTCCCGATGTATATCTATAACATTCACATACTTGCCTCCCCGATGTATATCTATAACATTCACATACTTGCCTCCCGATGTATATCTATAACATTCACATACTTGCCTCCCGATGTATATCTATAACATTCACATACTTGCCTCCCGATGTATATCTATAACATTCACATGCTTGCCTCCCGATGTATATCTATAACATTCACATACTTGCCTCCCGATGTATATCTATAACATTCACATACTTGCCTCCCGATGTATATCTATAACATTCACATACTTGCCTCCCGATGTATATCTATAACATTCACATACTTGCCTCCCGATGTATATCTATAACATTCACATACTTGCCTCCCGATGTATATCTATAACATTCACATACTTGCCTCCCGATGTATATCTATAACATTCACATACTTGCCTCCCGATGTATATCTATAACATTCACATACTTGCCTCCCGATGTATATCTATAACATTCACATACTTGCCTCCCGATGTATATCTATAACATTCACATACTTGCCTCCCGATGTATATCTATAACATTCACATACTTGCCTCCCGATGTATATCTATAACATTCACATACTTGCCGTGTAATACCATATTAAGAGGATCCATAGCTCCTTGGACATCTGTGATATTCTGTGACAGTAGTTCGTCACAAGAAAAGGGTTTAATATATCAATATATCAGACTCACCAATGGTTTTATTAATGTCGATGAACTTCTACTTTTGTATAATAAATTCGATATCACATTCTTGCTTCTGTTATAATTGATCTGATTCAACTTCCACGCATGTTGAATTCCATGTCAAAAAGTAAATACACAGTGATTTCTTCAGATTGATTGTTTTATGGATACGGCACTGAGGGAGGGAGCGAGTCGAGCTGGATAACTTGGAATTGGTGCGTGAGAAGGTTTTAATGCCTCTTTAAGCTGTATTTCAGTTATACCATGGTGTGTCAGTTTAATTTCAGAGGAAAGTGTTTACTAATTATGGAGGAACCTACGAGCCACACAATACACACAAGCTAGTGCTCTTGGAACCCGACTTGTTGGCAAGCAGTTTACACGATGACTAAAGAACATTTCATAACACACGGAATATTGAATACAAACATATATTTACAAGTAACTGACAAATAACTTGTAATCGACTACTTTTCTAGGGGCGGTGGGGGAGGTCTAGTAGTTAAAGCGTTCGCTTGTGACGCCGAAGACCTGGGTTCGATTCCCCAAATGTGTACAATGTGTGAAGCCCATTTCTGGTGTCCCCCCGTCGTGATATTGCTGGAATATTGTTCAAAGCGGCGTTAAAATAGACTCACTCACTCACTTATATTTATCTGATCCCATACTTCAGGGCTGCAGGCTAAAGAAATGGATGAGAATATATGTAGCATAAATCCTGATTGTTTTCTTTATTGATTGCTGTACTACCGTGATAGACACTCGTTGCATGTTATTGAACAATTCTTCCTGTAGAACGTAGCATGTATACGGGGAATGCCTGGAAGAGATTCAGCAGCAGACATGCCCACGGCTAGACGGGCCTTGATGTGATCCACATTTCACAATACATATTATCTGAGAAATTGAAAAGTATAGATTTTACAGGGCAAGTAATCTGTGTCATAGTCAGTGCATATGCGCATATAGATCCATTCCGTTCTACCGCGGCTAGCAGTATATGTGTTAACTCCACGGCTCCCTCATACTTGTGTGATCTTCTCACACCATACACTCCTGCTCGTGCCCTCAGATCCAGTAACCAACACCTGCTGGATCCTCCATCATTCAACCTCAAGACATTTGGTGCCCGTTCTTTTGCTTCAGTTGCAACCGCACTATGGAACTCACTTCCACTTAAATTACGTACAGCTCCATCCCTTCAAGTGTTCAAGCGTAACCTCAAAACATACCTTTTCAGTCGATATAAACAGTAACTCTCTCCAAGCTCATATTTACTACAATACTGATTCATGTGACTTTTTGATGTGTTTGTTTTTTAATCATTTGTGCGCGCTTTGAGCATGCCCCTTTGTGGTATGGAGTATTGCGCAGTATAAGTACCCTTATTATTATTATTATTATATGATATGGTGAAACAATCTGTATGTAATAGGAACTGGAAGCAGAAGCATTTGTCATATCTACATTTATGCATCTTAATGTAAATTATACGTACGCATATGTTGGGTTGTGTTTTGTGTTCGTTTGATTTTCTATTTGTAACTATTGGGGTTATAAAGTGACGTCAGGTCACCTGGGTATTAAATCTAGTTAGACACGTCAGAGTTAGAATAATAAAATAAGAACATAGAGTTTGCCGGGACTGGAAACAACCGGGAATAGAGCACATTGGGCAATTATTGTATAAGTGAATTACATCATTAAATGATGTCAAGCTATGAGGCAGGTCACGCTCCTCAACACTCGGCTCCTATGGCAAACATATGCCTATTTCTTCAACACAAGTCGCTGTTTTAATTTACACCAAAAAAAGGCAAAAATCCCGATTCTTTCATATGTCAATAGTTAATCTGTCATAGCACGCATACAGGCATAACCTGATTTACAATGTTAATGTTGAAGAATGGGGTGGCCCTAAACGCATTTTGCGTAGTGTAACTTGAATCTGAAACGCTAACCATGCGAGCATAGCAGAAAACGTGGCTTATCAGTGTATAGAGGATAGGTTGGAAGCAATAAAAACCCTTACAATGGGAAAGTTGGAGAAAACTATTCACACATTGAATCAGTTAGAGCACATTAAATGCATTTAATCCCTGAAACCGGCATGAATCACAGACGTATTCACGAGCCAGGTAATTGGTACGATGTATATCAAATACATAAAGGCGATATATCAAATACATGAATGTATTCACACCACACGTCTAACAAACAGGTAGTATTACCACACAACACTGAGTTCAAACACCGAGCTAGTGTACACCGCGGAGTGGACATGAGATGGGTCTCTTGGTGGGTGGGTAAATACAGAGTCGTTGTGTAGAATATCGCATGACATATCACCGACCCGAGTCTACATACGATGAGACACTAACCGTTTATAATTGGCATGTCATAGTACACAATGTGCGAGGTCCTTTATTGTTAAAACAGCACGTTCAGGTAAACACAGGGGACTATCAGTGGCTCTAACGCACGACCTCGTTCTTTAACGAGTATAGCGACGGTTGTATGTGTGTTTCTCTCTGTAATAAAGGCTAAAGCGTGGTGTACACTTTGTAAAAGTTAGGGGTTGAGATAATTTTATGATATTTTTAAAAAGGGAAAAAATGATCTTGTCTTTCTTCACATGCCTTAATAAAGTTAAATACGTTGGGTGGCAATTGTCATCAAATTCTGTTACATACAAGCGACAAAACCATTTCTATTATCATAATAAATATCGTACGGTTCCTACTATATCATGAGCAGGTGTTTGTGAATCACTATCAAATAGTGGTGACGCCAAGTAGTCAGGAAAAGGTGAGCAGATCCTGTCCCACCAGGCAGCCGTCACAAACACACGCAAAAGGCAGGGCAAGCGTTTACCTGAAAACAATTGTAACTTATGGCGCAAGTCAGAAAATTAATTACATAGGACATCTATTTGGTCTGTAATACGTCAGATTTGGAAATGAAAAGCTTTTTTTGCAGGTTTTGCTGAGGAAGTGAATGGTCTAACAACACCCACAGCTTTGTTGCATTAGCCATAACTGAAACTTCTCAGAAGGAGCATGCGTCCTTGATTCTGTACACACTAAAGGCTGGACCTGCTGGTATACCGCTAATATTTTTAAATAATCTCCCAGGGTCGTTCTTCGCAGTTAATATTAACAAACATGTGGACATGTTGTTGAAACAATCAGTTTCGTGTGGTTCATTTGTGCGGACAGATTTTCAAATGTATTTGACGTCGTACATGACCTGACCAAATGGCCTAATTGTGTAGCTTCAAGAACATACCTTCTTTCTGTCCGTGAGTGAAGGTTAGCAGTCAGGGATATTCCAACTACAGCATGGCGTCCTGTAAAGTACAAGTCTGGACCTGGCAACAGTGGTTGATAGCACGATGCACAACGTCAGGATATGACATAAAATCAGCTCAGTCATGTATTATGACCAACCAATCCTAAAATGTCTGGTGGTTCGTCAAATATACCCCTTCATCCAGCATTGTCCGTCAGCCAGACAGAGGAAGTACAACAGCCCTAGACTCACGAAGATGGAAATAGTAAAATTATCAATAATTCAAAGAACTGTAGTCTTGATGAATACATTCCGATTTGTTTCTTGATACAGATGTTAATTAGGCGATGAAAAATATTCAAAATTCTCTTTTGATATGTAAAATACAGAGATGGAAAAGTACAGATCTCCAACGGTATGAATCGTACTTTCAGCAAATATGAAAAAGAAGTCTATAAGCATTTTGCAATGAAAGCGGGTGGCCTGGCAACAGCTATTTTCACAAAGGATGTGTTGTACCAGTTTCCAAGACCTTCTGCATCTTTACAAACGATAATAATCATGAAGGAATAAAGAATTCCACCAATGGATACTGAGTAAATGATGTTAACGCCGTATTCTAGTTATATCACAAAGCGTCAGCTTAATGATGGAAGAAAGTCCGAGAAGATACATGTCCTAGATGTTTACCACTTTGGAGGAGCTAACAGGGGTGGAAGCTGTAGGGGGCTAACAGGGTTAGATCATAGGTTTGACGGCATGTCATAGGGCACGGGTATGGTGCTAGCAAACCTAGAACAGGGTTAGCATAGGTTTGACGGCATGTCATAGGGGCTAACAGGGATTAGATCATAGGTTTGACGGCATGTCATAGGGGCTAACAGGGTTAGATCATAGGTTTGACGGCATGTCATAGGGGCTAACAGGGTTAGATCATAGGTTTACGGCATGTCATAGGGGCTAACAGGGATTAGATCATAGGTTTTGACGGCATGTCATAGGGGCTAACAGGGGATCATAGGTTTTACGGCATGTCATTTAGATCATAGGTTTTACGGCATGTCATAGGGCACATAGGGGCATGTCATAGGGGCTAACAGGGATTAGATCATAGGTTTTACGGATCATAGGGGTTTAGATCATAGGTTTGACGGCACGGCATGTCATAGGGGCTAACAGGATTAGATCATAGGTTTTACGGCATGTCATAGGGGCTAACAGGGATTAGATCATAGGTTTTACGGCATGTCATAGGGGCTAACAGGGATTAGATCATAGGTTTGACGGCATGTCATAGGGGCTAACAGGGATTAGATCATAGGTTTTACGGCATGTCATAGGGGCTAACATAGGATTAGATCATAGGTTTTACGGCATGTTAACAGGGATTAGATCATAGGTTTTACGGCATGTCATAGGGGCAGGGATGATCATATATGGGGCTAACAGGGATTAGATCATAGGTTTGACGGCATGTCATAGGGGCTAACAGGGATTAGATCATAGGTTTGACGGCATGTCATAGGGGCTAACAGGGATTAGATCATAGGTTTTACGGCATGTCATAGGGGCTAACAGGGATTAGATCATAGGTTTGACGGCATGTCATAGGGGCTAACAGGGATTAGATCATAGTTTCCACGGCTAACAGGGATTAGATCATAGGTTTTACGGATCATAGGTTTTACGGGCATGTCATAGGGGCTAACAGGGGGATCATAGGTTTAGGCATCAGGGGCTAACAGGTTTTACGGCATGTCATAGGGGCTAACAGGGATTAGATCATAGGTTTGACGGCATGGTTTAGACGGCATGTCATAGGGGCTAACAGGATTAGATCATAGGTTTTACGGCATGTCATATGGCATGGGCTAACAGGGATTAGATCATAGGTTTTACGGCATGTCATATAGGGCTAACAGGGATTAGATCATAGGTTTTACGGCATGTCATAGGGGCTAACAGGGGCTAACAGGGGGTTAGATCATAGGTTTTACGGCATGTCATAGGGGCTAACAGGGATTAGATCATAGGTAGGGGCTAACAGGGATCATAGGTTTGACGGCATGTCATAGGTTTTACGGCATGTCATAGGGGCTAACAGGGATTAGATCATAGGTTTTACGGCATGTCATAGGGGCTAACAGGGATTAGATCATAGGTTTTACGGCATGTCATAGGGGCTAACAGGGATTAGATCATAGGTTTTACGGCATGTCAAAGGGGCGCAACTCTGAATCTCAAGTGCCTTAGAATTTGATTAAATGGCTAAAACGAAAAGGGGACTATGGGTATGTTTATTACTTACAGTATGGTTCCAATATAATGTTAGCAATATTCCAACAATAACAATGTGTAAGACACCAGAAATTGGCTACACCAAGTGGCTCACATTGTAAAATCGAACCAGGGTCCTCGGCGAGACGAGTGACCGCATCAACCACTAAGCCCCTATTCATGACACTAAGATGGAAATATACTGTGGTGTGGTGGAATTGGGTTTAACGTCGTGCTTGAGAATATTTCGCTCATATGACGACGTGCATGCGTGTGTATGTGTAGCTGCGGCTGCTTGTACTAGCCCAGGCTGAAGCTGGTTTTATAGTGCTAGCCCACTGAGATACCATGCCGCAGTGAAGCATGAATACACATTATACTGACTCCCAGCTGACCAGTCCTTGTTGTACCCATTAATGCCGAGCGCCAGGCAGGGACCAACAAGTACCACATTTTAACGTCTTTTGGTATGACGCAGTCGGGGATCGAACCCGCGACCTTCCGCACTCCGGTCGGACGCTCTAACCACTACACCACGGAGGCGGTCGAAATATACCGTGGATGAACAGGAATGACAATACCAATGGAATCTGTACTTTTGTGTCAACACAACGTGTGACAGCATAGGTCTCTTGTGGTATGATATGTGCGTGTGTCAATGCATATTACACAGTGTGATGTATGTATGTACATGGGTTTGAATGACCGTGTTACACAATGACACTGTTACACGTCTGTGGTGCACATCTGAAGTATTATTTCTCTTTCCTGATCAACCTGTCTTTAGTTGCCATAGTTTCCAAAGTAGCCATTATTCAATATTCCAACATGCAAGTTTGATGAGTTCTACCAGAGCATGATAGATTAGCGTGTGGATTAATCTTTATCCTTTTATAGTAGCCCGCTGGGAAATTAACACGGCGTTATACAGCTAATCTGCTTATGTGCATCCAGTAAGGTATGACCTGTCAAGGAGTCAAAACCTGACATTATCATATGTCAAGGGGAGACAGATCAGTTGTTAAAGGTTCGAGTCCCCTGTGGCAGTGCCATCATTGTTATCTTATCAGAGGCCTAAGACCTCATTCATTCTCTCTTGTTCTATAACGTAACAGTAATAAGAAGATATTATTGTATATTTTAACATTATGAGTTTATATACTCATGCCAATAATGGTTGTCACCCCCTTCAATTTCTTTAATTGGAGAGGGGGTGTGGGGTGGGGGTGTGAGGTTTGTGTGGGGTTGGGGTGGGGAGAGGGTGACAACCATTATTGGCATGAGTATATGTGAAAGTTTCCAGTCAGAACTGCTGAGACCTGACAGATCGTCTTAGTAACCGTGCGCCCTATCCTTGTTGCTGTGCCGAGCGCCAGTCAGGGCAACAACAAGTATTATCTATAACACATTTTGGTTTTACGCGACTTGTTTGGGATCGAACCATAAACGTTCTGCTGTCCTAGCCGACGTTCCATCCTCTGCCTTCGTGGTCTAGTCGGATATAATGTTCCTTTCACTCTTATGAAAAGTCAGACTAAAAAGTGGGGCCAAAATTCCCTTAGGCGTACCAGGAAATTGTTGTGGAGGGTTCGAATCCCAAATTCGCCCTGATTACGTTTCAAGTTATCTGGATATGTCAGTACCATAGCAGTTCCCATGGGCTGCACCAGAGTAATAACGGCCTAAGACCTGCATCGCTTAGAGCCTTTCTCGGTGGGGTAGCCCAGTGGTTAAAGCGTTCGCTCGCCATGCCGAAGGCCCGGGTTCGTTTCCGCACATGGATACAATGTGTGAAGCATATTTCTCTTGTACCCCGCCGTGACATTGCTGGACTATTACTCAAAGCGGCGTAAAAAATACATTCTAGCATTAAACTAACACAGCGTAATACAGATGGTATTCTGTCTAAATTGACGTTAAACTAAACTCACTCACTCCATCAGCCAACACAATTGTGAAAGGAAAAAAACACTAACATTTCTAGGATGTTCGTACCATGGTGATATTGAGCGTTGATCAACGTTATTGATATTGCGAAACTGAAGTATTGTATTGATGCACTGATGTGGCATCCGGTTGTTCAACATCCATGGTATATTTCCTCTGAGGCCTGTTGCCTGTGTATTGCGCTGTGTTACATGCAAGGTGAATGTAATAGTTTGTCGGGTCGGTAGCATTGACATAATCAATATTCACTTCAAAGAACCTAACTATAATAACTCTCGGGGTCCTTTCTGTGTTAACAAATATTGAACAACCTATGCTTCTCAACTCGTATTTTTTACCCCGTTCCATAAACGCTGAACAAAATGAATACCTGTGTATGTCATGGTATCCTTGTGACTCTTATACAGTCACACAGGCCGCTCATAAAGAGAGTTTCAATTACATGAAGTATTTATATTTCAATACTCATACAAAACCGTACATTAAAGCAGTTTACTTGAAGCCCGCATGCTTGTGTTTAAAGGTAACGACAGTGATTTAGTATTCAAGCGTTCCCTCCCTTTTAATATGTCGATTACATAACGCTTACAAATATTACCTGTCAACAGATTACAGGGTCCATTACACCTGACCAGGATTAAGGCGCCAAGTCGAGCGTGCTACTTTAAGGCCTGTCTAATCTAGACCCTTGTCTCGGGTAGCTTGTCACGTGATAGCAACGAAGTCTCTAATGGTCTAACGAAACACGAACCAATTTAGGAAAGATTAAAATATCAAAAGGGAACAGGACAAGTGCAAACAAAGCTAGGAGGTCCGAGTAACCAGAGTTGCGTATGAATAATACAAGATTTACCGGTCGGCCTTTGCATAGCAACCACCGTTAGCTTGACTGACAACCAGCCTGCTATGTACAACTGTGGTATATTTCACAGCGCTATTCACGACTGGTTGTAAGCCAGTCACTCGACTAAATCGCCTTGGGTGGATTTTATCGACTTGTATAGTGGAAGGAATCAGAGAGTTTAGTGCAGCACGTGAACATTCGGAACCAGATATCTTGGAGAACTTGGTCGAGACACACAACAAAATCTTTCGCGTTAATCAGACCCACACAAAAAGTGTAACTGAAGAAACTTTCGAGGTTTCTGGAGATTTTGAGTGCGGAAAATACATCGGAGTGTATCCGATTTTCAGATTTGTTCAAACATGTCTGCCTCCCCATCCTCCCCCCGCCGATCCAAGTCTCGGATGAACAAGCTCTACCGCACCCCGCCTACTCCGCCACCCCAGGAGCTGCTGGGAAAGGAACATACGTTTGTTCTGGACTGTAATGCAGTCAGCAGTATATCCAGTGACTATTCTAAAGCCAACCCTAAACTAGGGCCCGTGGTTCCCCCGTACAACTCCCAGAAGGACGGCCACGTCGCACCTTACTTCAAGTTCCATGGAGTTGAGAGGACGCTACGGAGGACCGGCCAGGTGAGCTATGTCATCACAAATACTGACCAGCGTTACATAGCATCTCTCTTGCTGTGTATTGTTAAATAATGTTTAAAATGACCATGTACTACATATATATGTCAGGTATTTATCTATGCCTACCCATGCCGTCTTTTCTCTTTTCTTTTTTTATGGACTCCGAGGTTTTCTTAAGTTTGTAGAAAGAGGAAATTTGATTTAGCAACAGGCAAAACAAACCGCAATCCTATGAATGTATTGTGACTGAATATCACCAACGACAATGATTGTATGAACTATACGGATTTGCAAAATGATCAACTGCTGTGTTGTCGTCTAACGCAATAAATAGGGAAAGTCACATCCCAATTCGTATTTGTATACAGGTGCTACTGGTAGAGGGCGTTACCCCTTTCGTACCCCTGGTGTCATGACATTCTTGCACAGGGCCCTATATAGTGATAAGACCCCGCAGTGACACTACATACCTTGATGGCAGTTTTTAGCGTTATAAGCCCCTGTGCGTGTATATATAGTGATAAGACCCCGCTAGTGACACCACATACCTTGATGGCAGTTTTTAGCGTTACAAGCCCCTGTGCATTTACATAGTTTTACACCCAATGAAATCTGTTTTGGAGGAAAATGTACACTAATTATAGACTGGCCTCGATGTTTTATATGATCACTTGAACCTTAAATCTCAAATGGGGAATAGAAACATCACAGGAACAATTTAATACCTTCTGAATTAATATAAGTTTAAATTTATTATTCTTCCATTATTTCACTTTAGTGTGTTACTGACTGCCCGTACAGAGATGAGATTAGTTCATTGTCAGTCCAACATTCCATTACAGCCAAGCCAGCGAGTCGAACATGTGTTTGTGTATATGTGCGGTTTAGCCCGCTTGTGACAACGACGCCGTGTACGTGATAGGATATTTAGTTTCAACCATTAATCAACCCGTGTAAGTAAGATCAGCCACCTGGGCCTAGATTGTCGAAGCTCTCTTAGCTCTAAGATAGGCGTAACTGCCATACACTAGCATTAACTTACGACTATCTTAGCGCTAAGAGAGCTTCGAAAATCTAGGCCCTGGCTTCCACATGACCATCATGCCATTGCATGACTACCACAGTTCAAGTAGGTCCAAAACCACTGAATCACATCTGACTCTGGTCGTCCATGACACAACAACCTGTTCTACAAATGTACACAGTCAATGTTGGAGACCTTACAACGCTATGTTGACCATGTTGTGCTGTAATAAGACTGTGCAAGACGTGATTATCATCAGTAGTGTTATTTCATATGATTGACGGGTTCTTTACAAACATAGGGCTCAGATATAATGCAGGGGTCAACAGTAGTTTAGCATACCTCGACCCTGTGTTATTGCAACCGGCTTCAAGGACTTGAGTTGCAGTGTACGTCTGACCTGTTCAATGGTTTGTCTTTTAGAAGATAAAACCTTCGAATAACAATTGTGTTCCGTTATTGACCTTGTTGTCGACAGTCTTACAGCATATACTTTGTGAGCCGAGAAGGTATGTTGATAACATTGACATTGATGGATGAATGGTTATACAAGTCAAACTGCCCAGCTTGAAATTATTGAAATCAATTCTGAAAGAATGAACTCATGCACTTTGATTCTCACTATCTTCGATGTGATTTGTAAATATATAATACTGTTAAAAACAACAAGCTGTGATTCTGATATCAACCGTTTGGAAGGCATCATCTCAAAAACTTTGGACATAGATCATTCAAATGTGCAGCACCAACCCTGTGGAAACAGTCTTCCTTCACCCATCAAACATGCTTCATCTTTAGAAGCATTCAAATCGGGACTCAAAACCTACCTCTTCAAAAAAGCCTACAACCTATAACTGCCAAATATTCTGATGTTCGTTTTGACGAACTGTCATATCTTCCTCATCAACTCGAGTGACTCTTTTATATGTAGCACTTTGAGCATGCTCTGGATGAGCGATGGCGCACAAGAAATATCCATTTATTATTATTATTATTATCCGGTGTCCATGAAAGGTCATACTTTAATTGGTTTCAGATTTAAATCGTAAGAAAGTGCGTCGACAATACTGAAAGCAGTCTGTTAAATGCCAGTCCTGTTCGATCACCCGTTAAGCGTGACCTTGGCTGTTGTATACATATGTATATCATATGGTGGTGCCTCTTGGTGCCTGTTGTATACATATGTACATCGTATAATGGTTCCTCTTGTAGCAGACTATCAGGTGTCGTCCCCTATCCATGCCCTGGGTTGGTGCTGCCTCAACAGTCTATTCAGTTCAGTTCCAGATGTATGGTCTTTAGACGGGTACACGTCAATGGCGGCATTCAGTCCGTGTTTGGGGAGTGAAAGGGCACGGATTAACGTGTATTTAAGACTCTGTATGTGATCAAATATCTTCAGATGTCAACAAGGTTCTTGAACTTACACGGCTCGATGACTTCCAATGACAGCACGCCTGAACACGAAACCTGGAAGGGAAAAGTGACCTCTCTGTCTCATGCAATTCACGAGATTTCCTACTGTACATAAACGTAGTTTATTGGTGTCCAGTGGTGCTTCTGTCAATATGCGTGTGTAAGGTTGGGCAGCCTGTGAAAACAGCTTGTCATAAAGCTATACATGCACAAGTAATGAGGTGTCTGTAAATTCCTGTACCATGGGCCGATGACCTGAGTCTAGATGTTGAAACAAACAATAAATATGTGAATATAGAGGGCACTCAGGTAGGCAGACTTTTCTTCATCACTTTATTAATTGTTAATTGGCTTCACGTGAATGCTCATGTAGGAACTAAACTCTTTTTGTTCAACGATCGGTCACGTTAACCACTACCCTACCCCAAGGCACGAAAAGAGAGAAGAATAACCATACAATTGCACCTTTGGGCACTTGAGTATTGTTGAGTATTTTTTGTATTTTTCAAGCTACATTCTCAGTGACAAACTGAAACAATCAAATTCAGAATGAATCCCAACACAGTTAACCCTACGTCCCTGTCATAATACTCGCCACCTTCTCCTGATTTTATTGTTTTATTGACTGTGTACAACTGTGTCAGTGGGAGACAGACACTGAAGCTGACAGGAACACAGACACGCAACCAGACATGCTCTGGCATTGATCGTGTCAGACACGGCAGAAAGTCAAAGGGGGCTCCATCGATTTTCACAGAAACAAATTTACTGGTATCAATAATAGAACATAGCTAACAAACAACATCAAACATCCTATGAATTCGTAAAGTGTGTACCCCTTGCAACATATGTGACGAAAATGGAATAGAAATCTTTAAGAGAGAAAGAACATCAAGTGTAATCAAGAAAAAAAGGGTTGACACGTATATATACTGAAGGAAGAAAATAAGGGATCACATGAAAGCACAAGTGTTTCTTTATTTGTTTCCAGGTTTCTTCACAAGCTATGCGATACAAAGCTTTTGAAGAAACCGGGACAAAAATAAAGGAAAACTTGTTTTCATGTGATCCCTTATTTTTCTTCCTTCAGTATATTAATACATGTAATAAGATACGTGAACAGTGGCTCAGCATTTGAAAACTGCCTTTTTGTATAAGTGGGTGAGTGTAATTCCCGTACTGGATTAAGCAAGCAATGTCGTTTAGCAGAGAATAATGCAATATACATGCAAACAGTCATGACATGTTATATACCGATATATCTAAACGTAAAGGTTCACGGTTGTATATTTACAGCTCTCCCTGATATATAGTGCCAGGAACATATGTTATGTATGCACATATACACTGCCGTCAGCTACAGACACAGCGAACTGTAGCTATAAGAAAGTACATGCATTCCTGGCGAACAGGTTATAGCCTACAGTTAGGGTTGATCTGTGTAAGAGATAAGCGTTCACGAGACTAAAACCTTTTTACAAAACAAAGGTAAACGAAGGTAATCTATTTTGTTGTATTCAGGACAAGATTTAGACCATGACATCGATCTGAGCAACATGTTCGGCAACTTCAAGCAGTAGACAGTTTTTGTAACCTTTGTTCTCAGTTGTATAAGTGCAAATGTTTCAGCATCAACACAGGAAAACATCAATAAAACAAGTAGCCTGTTTACTGTTGGCGGTTCATGAGGAGTCAGTGATTCAGTGAGTGAGTCGGTGAATAGGCAGAAACAGTATCCGACCTACAGTTCCACCGAGAAGCCATAGAGTTGTCATGGTGACAGTGTGCATGGGAAATTAAAGACATCAACCTTCCTTCTCCCACTCGGAGAAAGTGAAAATGATCCATATATTCCGTCAATAAGGAATGTTATTTTCTGTTACAACAAAAACTGCAAAGTTTAAGAAAAATCTATTTTGTTGGCGATATACGTTAGAATTTAGTTTTGTTCACGGGGTTACAATCCGGGTAAGGACCGACAGGCCTACAGACCAGATAAAGTGATGACTGACACTATGATCAAAGGGCCTCAGCCGTTGGGTCACGGTGACCCAAACCCAGCTAGGTGGCACTGTACGACCAGCCTCCCATCCTATTGGTCAACGGCAATTTCATATTCGGGAGATAAATGTACACAAGACAATATGACAAGACGGGTAACTTCAACTTTCAAATAATCAGCTCTTTTGTGGTACAATCGGGCATGTTCTTTCTACCATGATTTCAAAGAACGTCATACGACATTTGCTCAAACGTTGTTTAATGTTTTATGTGTGTACATTTAATTCCCCAGTAAGGCTTTCAAAACATGCATGGTAAATATGACATTTCCAAATCTGGCGAATCGGTAACCAAAATCATGTACGATCAGAACCGTACCATGAACTATAACTGTCTATATATAGAATATGAGTGGTTTAGAACAATACACATTCCATAAAAACAATGAAGCTGAGTCCGATCAGACAGATATTCATTATGTTTAGGAACCTTTAAAAACTTTACACAGGCTTTAATGGAGATTTATCACATCAAGACGTTTAAACCAATATCATCGACACTACAAATCGAAATACTTTAAATGACTCTAATCCTAAGCACATTCGATCTGTTCTTAGCTTATCGATCCTTTCAAATCCACAACTGTGTTAGGCAGACAAACGGGGCTACAGTCCCATGTTGAGGTAGACCCAGGTGTCGACCCCGGGTATTGTATTGACACCAAGTCACTTGAAGACACGGGATTACCTCCCCCACTGAGCTGCCGCCATGGTGAGACGAGAGAAAAAATCGACTTGAGAGATTAGATTGCGGATATTGCAGGTGGACGCTGGAACGTCGTGCGTGATGAGGGCAATTTTGACGGCAGTAACGTGATAAATTAAGGGGACGTCTCATTTTGTCTGTTTAATTATATGAGTGGCAGGTACGTAAACAAATATGTTCAGTTATCTTTGAAGATCTCCTTTCACTATTATTGTCAGTACATTCGGTGTTTATACATAGTGCCACAATTGCAAGTTATATGAGGAAAACAATAACAAAAGACATTTTCTGCTTTAAATTAAGAAACATAACCAACTTGCATGTATACAGATTTATGACTTTATGAAAAAATTACACCGCTTTGAAGTCCTTAATCCCCTGGGATGATGGCAACGATAGGTTGAAGAAACTGAAAATGCAATCATGTTTCCAGGTGATCATGTCGATGGGGTGAGCAAAACATTTTATTGGGATCATTATTGATATGAAAATATTTTGGATCTGACTTGTGCTGTTGATATTTGGAATACTGACGATAACTTTACAAACAGATTGGGTGATCTTTGACTTCTTTTGAGTGGTATGCCTGTAACTAAGTACATAGTGCTTACGGAACATACGTCATAAATGTTCAACTGGAAACATTTGGGTCAAGAATTTGTCAACGTACGTTTCTGAAACTATATGTTACTGTGTATTGTGAATGTCTGGATAAACATGATACATGATCATATCCAATCATCAGTGTTCATACAACAGGACACTGAATATCGATTCAGCCTCTTGATGTCAGGATATAGAGCAAACACATTATTTAAGAGATACTATATACTCAGAGCTGGCGTTAATTAGGCAAGAATGGGATTGAACGCACTGACGACAATTGCACTCACATAGCGGCGTGCATGAATTGTGTATGTACTTTGGTGTGGGGCTGTGTGTACTAGTCCGGACTTACACAGGCTGTACAGTGCTAGTCCACTGAGATATCATCGCACAGTTTATCAAGGATGCCTCACTAAGAGATAAACATGAACGCCTACCGAGTGAACGCCAGGCAGGGTAGCAATAAATACCACCTTACGCGTCTTTGGTTTGACCCAGTATCAAACCCCGGACTTCCGGTCTCGAGATGGACGATCTGTCCACAAGGTCATGGAGGAGGTCTGGAGTTACACATGGTCAGAGTCTGGAGTGGCACATCTATGCTAGGCAATCACATGAACATATGTAAGGGTGTGTACTTGATTCTCGGGTATTACAAGCAGTGACTGTAAGAGTGTGTGAGTGCATGTTAGAATAACGGAAAAGACGAGCCAGTGGTTGAGTTCATGGTCAGCTGTAGGTCATACACGCATGGCCAAGAGTGAACTCTCGATCGTGCCCTCACAGGCATTGGACACAAGGGACCTGTTCTTTGTAGATATAAACACGTACACTAGACTAGCTAGTAAGTATATTAGTGCTCATTTAATGGATCATGTAATACACACCGTCAATAGTTTTAGAAAGGCATTTAAACACATTGGCTGTTAACAAAATAGGCTTAAAATTAACCTAACAAATACCAATCCGTTCTAACCAGTTATCGTATCCGACACTGCGATATTTCCCTAACTGGTTACTGACCTAACACTGGATCTACATGTTAAGAAAAACACTAATTCTGGTCTCGTAGCTTATCTCGTTGAGCGTTAACGCAATCTGCTGCCATAAATATTCAAAAAGCTTCCATCTGTTTGTCCTAGACAATGATTTAACTCTGTCCATGAGGCTGTGTACGATATAGGTCGGTTGTTTTGTTTTTTCCCCATGCAAGTGTCTGGTGTGTGATAACTGTACGCAGATACAAACCCGGAAATATTCGTATGAAACCAGCACGCAATGTTAATGTGAAACTCAGTAATTGGTACTTGACTGTTGCTAGTCAGAAAATGAGACCGCCCCTAGAGCGAGATCCTTCTGAGTCCTTGTTAAGTGAGGCAGTGGCCCGCCACTTATCTCAGGTCAGTGCGACATACAGTCCTCGTCTGTCAACCCAGGTGAGACAGTGCATCTGTGTCAGCTCGACTTGTAGATTAACAACTAGTCTCTGAAATGAACATATTGTACTGAAAAAAAGTTCATAGTAAAACAAATATTAAAAAAATGAAAAGGACCCCTGATACTTTCTTCATGCCTGAAGCCAGAGACCATCTATTATATGGTCTCTGCTGAAGCTGAGGAAATCTAGACTTGCCACATTTTCTAGACTTGCGTGGCCTTTCTTGGATATATTTGCTTCAGGGTCTGTACGACAGACTACTCGACTTGACACACTTGAGTTCAGACAACACCTAGGTCACAAATGACAGTCGAGACGTTGTGTCCAGATCATAATATAGTTAAATAGTGAGGAAATGTATGTTGTTTGATGACGCAGTCTGCAATATGCCATCTATGTATGTAAATAACACGGTACGGATGTGGGCCAGACATCCCAGTGACTGATATTATGAACAAAGTTTAACGCCATCCGGGTATGACAGCGTACAAGCAGCAAAGTCATAGAGCTAGACAACCATTTAGACATGGCATATATCCAACATCCGGGTTAGAAGTGGTCATCAGTAACCCATGCTTGTCGTAAGAAGTGCGACTAACTGGATCAGGTGGTCAGGCTCGCTGACTCGGTTGACGCATGTCATCGTAAGCTATTTGTGTAGATCGATGCTCATGCTTTTGATCACAGGAATGTCTGGTCCAGACTCGATTATTTACAGACCACCGCCATGCAGCTGGAGTGAGTGAGTTTAGTTTTACGCTGCACTCAGCAATATTCCAGCTATATGGCGGCGGTCTGTAAATAATCGAGTCTGGACCAGACAATCCAGTGATCAAAAGCATGAGCATCGCAATTGGGAATCGACGACATGTGTCAACCAAGTCAGCAAGGGCTGACCACCCGATCCCGTTAGTCGCCTCTTACGACAAACATGGGTTACTGAAGATCAATATTCTAACCCGGGCCTTCACGGGTGCCGTACAGCTGGAATATTGCTGAGTGCGACATTAAACAACACAACAACAACAACCAATATCGGTTGCTAGGGGACAATTGTAACTAGGAATCGCTGTTGAGTTTTCAATAGTGTGCGTCTTTGTTGTTTACCGAGCACGCGGCGATACTACAGCCTTCTCACGGCGGTTTGTAAATTGTCAAGTCTTGACCAGACAAACAGGCGATTGATATTAAGAACACCGTTCCCTGCTATAGGGACACGATGACAATCAGTCGAGTCAACGACGGACCTCTCTACAACATACAGTTGAGTTTTAGGGCCTATTCTAACAATCTTCACTGGGAAGTTTCGTAATTAATCTAGAGTTAGTATGATTTTACGCCGCTTTTAAAAATATTCCAGCACTATCACGGCGGGGGGACACTAGAAACGGGCCTCACACAATGTATCATGTGGATAATCGAACCCGGGTCTTCGGCATGACGAGCGAACGCATAACCACTAGGCTATCTCATCACCCCTGATTAATGTAGAGAGTTTTGTGATACTGCTGAAATGAGACAAGAGACGTATGAATTCAGTTCTATATTAACTCGCCTTGCTAACGCCAAAATGAACCTCCAGTATATTGTTGACCGTCGACTGTCCTTCCGTCCATCGTCCTCCGTTAATACACGACGAAGAAAGGTTATCAAGCATAAATGTTTTGATATATTGTTTGGAATCTGTTAAATATTGATTAAACAGGGAAACTACAAATACCCGCTTTAGCGTGTAATAGGGATGGGTATTATAGACTACAAATTAAGAAAAATCATGAAAGTGTTTATCAAATCACGGATTCGTATATAGAAACAATTTCATCGTGTTTTTCGTGTATCACTATTGGTGTCTACTATCTTCCAGGAAACACCTGGGACTTCCATTGACGGTCAGGTCATGGATTATTTCCACGAGAAGGGAGCTGGCTACCAATACCTGTCCATGAGGAACCAGTCTGGCGCTGGTCAGTATATAATCATTTATCACCTTACATCTACATGTACATGAGTTACATGTAATACACAAGATAACGTACCATTAATAATCTTCTAACTTCATGTTTCTTTGAATACATAATACACTGCCAGACAAAAGAAAGTATTCACTCATGTTTGATTTGAACACATAATACACTGCCGGACAAAAGAACGTATTCACTCATGTTTGATTTGAACACATAATACACTGCCGGACAAAAGAAAGTATTCACTCATGTTTGATTTGAACACATAAAACACTGCCGGACAGAAGAAAGTATTCACCCATTTAAACACATAATTCACTGCCGGTCAAAACGTATTCACTCGTGTTTGATTTGAACACATCATACACTGTCGGTCAAAAGAAAGTATTCACCCATAATAAACTGATGACATATTCCTTCTTTCCAGGTCATTCACCAGATGTAGTTAACGGGCATGCGCAGTTCATGCAAGGGGTGAAACCTGTAGTCGGATACAATGGGAAATACGGTTTCCGTAGGAATACACCTTGGCTTCGGCAATATCCGTCACCTTTCGGAACAGCCTCCCGATCCCCGACACAGTAGAGGAACAGACTGACCACGCGTCTTCTGTGATGACTTCATCAGATATTTCCATGAACGCCAAGGGAGCCTACTCTCTTTGACATTTTGAGCAATACCTGCCGACTTAAGTCCCAGGAGGTGATTCCAAGTGTCTAAGCTGATGTGATATGAAACAGTTGCTCAAATATCAGATATTTTCGATTAGACGTTTTAGTTAATGTTGATTTCACGGATGCCCATCTCGCAGTCTGACACTTCGTGAGGTTTGGGAAAGAACATCTTGTGTCTTTCCGAGGGCTATATAAAGTGTATACTACAACCAGTATTATCCCACAGGGGTGTAAAACAGTCACATATGCGAGGCTGAACACAATAATCAAAATACGGATCGGGGCATTGGGGATAGTGCCACGTTTTTCCTTGTCATTTCAAACCACATCTGAATCTTCTGTAATCGTCTTTGCAGACAACAGAGATATAGCATACTTAATTGACCTTAAGTGGGAGTCTCCCTGTTGAAAATTGGTCAAGCCCGCCTATTGCTTCTGTGACAAGTGTTACAATCACAAATATTCAAAGGTGCAGGCTATTGGTTAATTCAAAAAGAGGCTTGCATGCCAATCGGAGGCTTCTATGTACATGTTGAACCACAGAACTGTTGTCTTTCAGTGTCTACAGCCATTCCTTTCCCTCTGCAGTAAATACTGCGTACTATTCTATTGTGTTTGTATCTAGGATTAATTACGTGTTTACTTATATGCCACCACATATGGAGCTGTGGGTCGCTAGATGATACAGTGTTGTATATTTATATGTTTTCAACTGTAAATCCATGTACCCTTTGTTATTTGTCATTAAACTGTAGACATGTGATGGGTGAAGTGTTGTCAGATTGGACTCAACTTTTTACTTTTGATCATTTACGGTAGGCCAGGCATTGACAGATTTGTATTCGGTTAAATTACCATTATACCCTTTTGGCATACGGAATTGGCGCAACGTAACCCCACATTACAGTTATATACTCCCAGGCAAAACTAGTGTGTGAGTTTAGTTTTACGCCGCACTAAGCAATATTCCAGCTAAATGGCAGCGGTCTGTAAATAATCAAGTCTGGACTAGACAATCCAGTGATCAACAACATCAGCATCGATCTGCGCAACTGGGATACGATGACATGTGTCAACCAAGTCAGCGAGCCTGACCACCCGGTCCCGTTAGTTGCCTGTTACGACAAGCATGGGTTACTGAAGATCAATATTGTAACCCAGGCAAAACATATACACATGCTGAAACAAATAATGAACCATTTGTGGGTGACGATGTATACTGAAGGACAAAAGAAACGTCGTTATATTGGAAATGACATTTAATATCAATGGGGTATTTGAACCTACTATATTTAAATATACACCGGAATCTCGATTTCAATGTTGTGTTTGTGCGAACTCTTCCCTTTCCACAAACAAAAACTTCAATCTCAAACAATACTTTTGGGGGCAATACAGGCTATACAAGCACGATTCATGTTTTCCTCAAACTTTACTTCCGGTGTATATTTAAAAAAAGTAGGTTCAAATACGCCATTGATACTTAAATGGCATTTCCCATATTACGACCTTTCTTTTGCCTTTCAGTATAGTTCATGCTGGTCTCACAATCGATATATTTCATCTTAGCGACGCCTGTAATTTTGGGGTCAAATCAATTTGCAAGAATATGCTTTCTTTTGCACGACAGTTTATGAGTGCACCGAAGCCCTTAACTCCATACAGACATGTCACCCGACTCTCCGTATACAGAATGTAAAGCAGCTTTAGATGGTCGTAAATCCCATACTTTAACATAGACTTACGACTGTCGTTGCGCTACGATCGCTTTGAGGAACGGGGCCCTGCAGAGGAGCCTTCTAAGGGTATAATAGACTCCACTTGCACATCACTAATAAGCGTGATGTTATGGCTACAGAGGAGCTAAAGGATCCTACAATCCTTCTTTTGAAGAGTAGTGTACTAATTCGGGGCGGCTTTTATATGGCAAACTACGGAGCCGGGAATCTGCTACAACAGTTCACCACATCCATGTACACTGACACAATTGCATGCGTGTGGACGGATTCTTTTTAAGTAATCGATTTTAGTCATTGACTGTGTTAGGCAAGCAGCTTTCGTGGAAACCATGGTAAATATAATAGTGACATTTTATGTTTTTATGTTCGTTGTCCACTTGATATAACAATCATACAAAGAAGACATACCCGTGAGGATGTCGAGTTACCACTGAAGGGGATGTGGTTGTCAGGCTCTACTACGTAGCTGGCTGAGGGGGGTCGTGACGTAATCATGTAGATGGATGCCTATGATTTGCCCTGTCTGAAAGTATCACCCTTACTACATCATGGAAGGACATTTTATTCACAGATGTTTGAGAGAAAATGAATTAATAGCACATGGATTCTCAAAAAACTCAAATAATTGGCTTAAATTTTGGCAATCTCAGAAAAGAAGTTCAAATGTGTCAAATGTCCAAACTTTTGATATTTCAACTTAACACACCATTTCCCTCTCGAAACACTTATGGAACATCTTTGTTTCTTTATCCACGGAGCATGAGAGACTACGTGCGGAGGCCATAGGCCTGGTATCATCTTTATATACATAAGGTTAATTTGTACAAAGTATCCAACCTGAATGCAAATATCATCTGAAGGTTAATGAGAAAACAAGGTATGAAATGCTGGACATCTTCATAGGTGACACCTGGGTGAAATTTGCGGATTGGATCTTTAGGTAAGGTGTAAGCATCCCCACGGGTACCAGTTGCATGTTCCACCCACCTACCTACCTACCAACTTTGATATGTTCTTTCTACATGTCACGTGTTCTTGCCTACAGCGCACAGGTCAGAAAGAGTTTCAACAGCATTGGCCTTGGAGAGATGGATGGGAGAAGTCTAAGTCATTAATGGTCGAGTGACTTCGATTTAACACTGCTTTGAACGGTATTTCAAATATATCTTCAGATATCATCACCAGAACGTAATCATTCTTCAAAAGACCCACTGTTAATGATGTGGAATTCTGAATTTTAAACATACATCCGAGTTCCCTGTTGCCGTTGATTCATCATCTTACGGTCTCAATACCCAGCGATCTGTTGTGGGATAGAGACATGCTACAGTTCAGGGAACACATTTTATGCTTCATATGTAAAAGTATTTTTACATTCGCTAAATTTCATACACACACATTTTGCACAACAGCCTCGACCGCATTTCAAAATTAAAATTGACCTTTTTCGACAAAGCGTAAGGGGTCTGATCATCTGTTTATAGCACAGTACAGATGGTTCTTATTACATGAGTAATATCATTTATCACAATTGTTCCATGTTGCAGAGGCCATATTCGTTCAGTGCCAAATGGTCATTTACAAAGTTTACTTCATGAAAGGGATAGATAACAATCTGTTCAAGAACTACGTGACGGACACTTTTGAACATTCGTAGTTGGATGACAGACCGAGAATGGATGAAGACCAAGGAATAGAATATATTTACTAAAGATGGACGGACAATGGACGAAGGAGGAAGCTCATATTTTTGTGAACTAATAACCACAAAACTCTAATCAAATAAGTAAACATTTTATCTAAAAGGTGATAGGTACAAACTAGTTTACATTCAGCAACGTAATAATGATCGTCTCTTCAAAAAGCAGAAAATCATTTTTTGATAGAAGCGACAAAAGTTTACTTATACACATAAGACGCACAACGTTAACAAGTAATAATGTTTTGTACATAAAACATAAAACAGCCCAGTTGATAAAATATAACACGTACACAAATGTAAAACGACTTGCAAATGCTTATAAGGATCACATTAGTTTTGATTTTGGTGGTATAGATTGAGAAAATAAATACCTTCACGGAAGGTTTGTGAATTCAACTAGAATATACTGTAGACTATACACTTTGGTTCAAGTTCAACTGAAGTGTTCTTTACGCTTTTAGATTATCTCTTTTCCATCACTCATTTTGATTTATAATAAAAATAAATCAAGATAAATACAAATGTAGACTGAAACAATAAACATTTGTGGAAGGAGTGAGTGAGTGAGGAAATATTTAACATCACAGCGGCAATATCTCAGCCATATCGTGACGAATTGTTGAAGGAGTGAGTGAGTGAGGAAGTATTTAACATCACAGCGGCAATATCTCAGCCATATCGTGACGAATTGTGGAAGGAGTGAGTGAGTGAGGAAATATTTAACATCACAGCGGCAATATCTCAGCCATATCGTGACGAATTGTGGAAGGAGTGAGTGAGGAAATATTTAACATCACAGCGGCAATATCTCAGCCATATCCTGACGAAGTGTGGAAGGAAATGAAGGGAAACGAGTAGTTCATATCACATGGCCAGAATCCAAATGTGGTCTCTCTCCCTACTACAATGCACATCACTACTAAGGAAAGACTGCCAGGTGACACGGCCCTCAGACATCCACAGATGAACTAGACACACATTCAGTATCTAGTCAAACAAAGGGACAGCCACACATGCCATGTGTTTGATACCCAAACATATATTTCTAACCAAAGCATATGGCTACTGGACAGGGTTCCAGGTACAAATGAATACCTGAAACAGTATGGATAAAGACATGCATATTTATCAGTGTCTCTGATGTAATGTGTTAGCATAATTATAAAGTATTCCCCAGTTGATCATATAATAATTTATAATAATTTTTGTTTTTATACTTAGTCAAAGTTCCTTTTGCTTTTAGAATACTCAAATGGTAAGTAAAATTTAAGCAATACATTCATTAAGCTAAACACACTAGTTCAGAGTACATTTCAATTTATTAAATAGCCATTGAATGGAAAGTAACTTAAATTCAAGCAATACATTCAGTAACGTAAATCCAAGCTATACCTTGTGTCTGTGGCATGACACTGGCTGTATTGTGAGGTAAGTGTTAGGGTAAATATCATATATCGTAGAATGAAGTAATGCTAATCTAAGCACCACCACCATTAGGCCAAAATGAATTAAATTTTACATTGATTTCAACCTTAGCATCTCATTACTATTTGCCATGCACTACAACACACACAAAAAATGGGTATGTGTGTCATCTTTTAAATTTACTTGAAATACACTGAAAAGAAACAAAAACAATCTTTTATATGAATTCTTGTGGATGAAAATCTAAAACTTAATTTATTTTGACCTTATTATTGTCAAATAGTCACAATGTACACATTATAAGATATACAACATCTGAAACGGAAAATACCTCATGTAGTTTCCAAAGGAAACTAGGGTGGAATAAGATAGCATTGTTATTTCTTTTTACTTAAGAGTCTTATGAGAAATACCACTGATATTACTCATCCTGTATAATGATGCCACACAGGTTTTCAAACCTTGGATTTCCAATGAATCTGCCTGCTGGAACCTCAATACACCATTAACTTAGCAGATCTCAACTGTGTAGCTTCAGGGTCCACCTCAGTAGGTTTAGGCTCATGCCTGGGAAAGTGCAAGGACCCTACTGGAAAGGCCTAAGGTCCAACCTGGGAATGTCCAGGGACCTCACTGGAAAGGCCTATGGCCTATGGTCCAACCTGGAAAGGTCCAGGTATTTAACCTTACACAAACTTTGAAAGTAGTTCCAGTGTTTGAATGTACCATATATATCATTCTTATAATGCCTATTAAACTTATAACAGATTTATTTTCTGTTGACACTGAAATAATTAATTAAATGAATATTTTATCAATAGTCAAACTAACAAAGAAGTTGATTACTTTGAGGGACACAACGTTTCAGAGTATATTCTTACTCCTTCATTATTCCTT